GAGGTCTCTCTGGTAAGAACGATAATTGGGCTGATAATTGTTCACCTTGATACTAATTCAGTTTTTTTATTTACCAACTAGGCCTTTACGCTGCCAACACCTTGCTTGAGAATGGTGTTAAAAGCTTTCGAGTATTAGAAGCACGGCCTCGAGTTGGGGGGCGAACGTTTACCAAGGTCGATGACAATGGAAACTATGTAGACCTGGGAGCAAGCTATGTCGGGCCACAGCAGCATTATATGCAGAAAATAATCAAGAAACTGGGACTAAAGACTTTTAAGGTGAACACAAAAGGCCTGAACTCGTACCTGAACAAGAAGAGACGATTCCTGCACGCCTGCGACAGCCTTCCGGCAATGGGCTCGCTCGTCGAAATGGAAGTCAAGTACGTCTTTGGGCTGATTGAGCGAATGTGCGAAGAGGTGCCACTTGATTCGCCGTGGTCCGCAGCCAAGGCTGACGAGTGGGACCGAATAACCTTTGGTCAGTTTCTGGACAAGCATTGCTGGACCGAAGAGGCACGCCAGTTTATCTCTATCTACATGGGCTGCTGCACGTCTTGTGAGAGCTGGGAGTCATCACTCCTCTGGACGCTCTGGTTCACCAAACAGTGCGATGGCCTCGATGTCATGTTCAACATTGAGAACGCTGCTCAGGACAGCAAAATTGTGGGCGGCACGCAGCAGATTAGCGAGAGGCTGAGAAAGATGATTGGTGCCGAGGAAAGAGTGCTCCTGAAGAAGCCGGTGTCGCAGATTGTCTACAATCGATCGGGAGAGAGCAACTGGCCGGTGACGGTGTCTTGCCTTGATGGCTCCAGCTACCACACCAAGTACGTCATCATGGCCATTCCCTTTTCCCTTCAGGTAAACTTTTTACGCCATTATTGGTAACATTCAGTACTAAAATGACTTGTTTTTTTTCAGGCAAAGATACATTATAGCCCTGCTTTGCCGCCAATGTATCAGCAGCTAACGCAAAAGTTTCCCATGGGCTCGGTGATCAAGTGTGTTGTCTACTACGAAGAAGCGTTCTGGCGAAAGGACTCACTCACTGGAAGCATGATCATCAATTTGCCCGGTGAACTGGGCCCCATATCTTACACCCTTGATGACACCAAGCCGGATGGCACCTACCCGGCTATTGTTGGTTTCATCATTGGCGATCGAGTCAGGATAATGCTAAAGAAGACAAAAGAAGAAAGATTAAGGTTAATCTGTGATAGCTACGCAAAGGCTCTTGGCAGTGACAAGGCACTGAAGGTAAATGAGTGACGTTGCACAAAAGATCCACCCTTTTAACCAGTACTATTACTTTTTTAGCCAATTTTCTATCACGAGAAGAATTGGAGCGAATCCCAATATACTGGAGGGTGCTTCACCGCTTTTGGAATGCCATCCTTTCTGACTAATTACGGAAGCCTGCTGAGGCAGCCACTGATGGACAGCCGAATTCACCTAGCTGGCACGGAAACGGCGGTTCAGTGGAGCGGGTACATGGACGGAGCTCTTCAGGCCGGTGAACGGGCTGCACTGCAGGTAATGCAGAGGTTAGGGGTTAAGGTGAACCGAGAAACGATCCTAGAACGACCCAACCCGGAGCTGCTCAAAAGAAAGAGAACTCTACAGGCAATGGCCAGAGAACGGCGAGTCAGCAACTCAATGTCCAAGATGAATCTGACACTGTCTATCAATCAACTGCTCACTTGGTCAGGAATACTAATGGCTGTTGTGGGCTTCATAATCACCGCTTCATTTTAATGATTAAACTCTTGGTTTCATGTGAATGCTTCCATTCACATGAAACTGATTGCATCTGTTTGTACAAGCGTATGATTGAGTCTAATAAACTACGTTTACATTTTAATCTTATTTGACATCATTTTCCTGCACCCGAACACTAATCTATAAATACAAAATCTTGTTTTTATGCTGCTTTCGACTATCGGCTTGTGTTTTGACTAGTTGCACTTTGACACTGCTCCGACGTTTTCAGTGAGCGTTGCAGATAACACCAATTGCGATTGTGCTTGTTTAGAAATCTTTAAGTAAAAAATTTTATCATTAACTTTTTTTGTGATTGTCGTTTTGCTTAAACTAGATGCTTTTGTCAACTTTGCAAACATAAAATTTTTCATTATACACATTTTCAATTAAAACATGTAATAGACAAAAATTAATTTGTAGTGACTCAAACTGTCGCTTTTCCCGCCATTTGTCCTTTTATTATATTAAAAATTAATTCACTAACTACAACTTGCAAAAAATATTAGAAACACTAGCTTATGAAGCACTGTCAGCATCAGATATATATTTGATCCCATATGCACGGTATTACCGTGCAAGCTTGACTATATGGTGGCGATAGCTGGCTACCCTTTAGATTGACATCTCAGGCCAGACACTCAGAGTGAGCACTGTGTACACTGGGGCAGTTGTGTTGTGGAGAGTTGCTGTGAGGCACTAAAGTACGGTGGAAAGTTGCCAGCATTATCTTCCAAATGATAACTACAGTGGTTTCCAGCGTTAAAGTTTCTTACATACTGTAATTTGCAGTGTATTTTTTGTTCGCAAAAAGAAATCTCAATAAAAACGTGCCTTTCTTACGGCAAGCCGCAGACGATTCAAAACGTGACTTTGAATAAAGCAGACAACTAAAATATCAAAAACCATGGGTGAACATATTCACGATGTTATTGTTATTGGGGCTGGAATTTCGGGTAAATAAAAATGTTTTATTAAAAGATCCCCTTAAATATCTAACTTTTTTCTCAGGTCTTAGCTCAGCCAAAGTGTTAGCTGATCATGGAGCTGACACTCTAGTTTTAGAGGCAATGGACCGAGTTGGAGGGAGAACGTGGACGGTCCAGAATGATAAAGTGGGCTGGGTTGATTTAGGTAAAAATTTTGCCTTTAAAAGGCTAAAAATCAAATACAATTTTCTATTTTAGGGGGCGCTTACGTCGGGAGAACACAAAATCATCTTCTTCGCATGATCAAGGACCTCAACCTTTCCATGTATAATGTAAATGAGCAGCAAAAAATTGTTTTTACCAATGGTTTTAGTGGAAAACGAACGTTGTACAATTACTGGCAAATGCCTGGTTTAGACTTTCTCACTTTACTTGACATCAATCACATCATGCGCCTTATGGATAAGATGGGCGAAGAAATTCCCACCGACTCACCATGGCTTTGTCCTCATGCTGAAGAATGGGATAAAATGACATTTAAAGAGTTTATCGAATCAAACATCACCAACAAAACTGCTATTGAGTTTATGCGAATCTTTATTGCAACTTGCGTAACCAACGAGCCATTTTCGAGTTCTGCGCTCTGGTTCTTGTGGTAGGTTGAGTTTATCTTATTTATCAATTAACAAATTACATTTCAACATTTTAAAAGGTACGTTAAACAGTGTGGTGGCTCTGTAAGAATTTTTTCTACTACAAATGGCGGCCAGGTAATATCTTTTTGCTCATTGTGAGTTTTGTGTAAATGTTTTCCTAATTGTTATTAGGAGTTTAAAGTGCACGGGGGCACTAACCAAATCACTCAGCGATTAGCAGGCCTAATTGGAAATGACCGTGTCCTCTTGAGTAGCCCTGTTGTGCAGGTCAAGCAAACAGACGACCTTGTGACTGTTCGCACTTTGGAGGGCAGAGAACACAAAAGCCGGTACCTAATCATGGCGACGCCTCCAGCAGTGCAGCAGAAGATCCACTACGAGCCGCCACTGCCGGCAATGCGCAATCAACTGATTCAACGAGCCCCAATGGGCTCTGTCTTTAAGTGCATAGTCTACTACGAAAAGGCGTTTTGGAAAGACAAAGGCATGTGTGGTAGCCTGCAGTTCATTGGAGAAGACACCGAGTTTCCAGTCACCTACACACTTGACGACTCGAAACCAGATGGATCAAAGCCAGCCATTATTGGGTAAAACCCTAGTCTCACTTTATAATGTCCGTTTCATCTCTTTACTCCTATTGTGTTAGATTCATTGTCGCTGAAAAAGCGCACAAGATCACTGCGCTGAGCAGAGAACAAAGAGTTGCAAAAATAGTCCAGGCATACGCAAAAGGTTTTGGTACTGATGAAGCACTAAATTACTTGGACTACGTGGAGAACAACTGGAGCGAGTCCCAGTACACCGGTGGATGCTACACAGCTACCTATGGCCCTGGTTGTCTCACTCGATTTGGACCATACCTTCGCAAACCTATTGGGCGAATGTTTTTTGCTGGAACAGAGTGCGCAGTCGAGTGGAGTGGATATATCAACGGCAAGATATACTTTTTAGCAAGCAACTAGACAAAACTAATCATTTTTATATCTATTGTAGGTGGCATTCAAGCAGGTGAAAAAACAGCTCGTCAAGTGTTAGTTCAGCTGGGAAAACTATCAGAAACAGAAATTGATCAAGTTGAGCCAGTTTCACTGGAGTACCCACCGTTGCCCTTCAAAACGACCCTCTTTGAGCGTTACGCTCCTTCTGCCAAAGGATTCATTCGTGGCCTGACATTCACTTCCATTGCAGTTGCTGCTACAACATCTGCTGTTTACTTCAAATGTCCTCTAATCACCAATGTACTGAACAAACTACTCAAAACATAAACGATAGCAAGTTAGGCAATGTTATATTATTTTTAGTCACAACAACTAATAAAAAGCAGACGACAAACGTGGTTGACCGTAACTACAGCTCAAATGTGGAAAATATTTTCATCTCAGTTGAGTCTTATCATTTGATAAACTGTATCGATGAGAGTTAGATAAACAGGAAAATCTCTCAAACAGTTAAACTATCACAAAAAGTGAAGCATGGAAAAAACCGTATACAATTTCATTTCTTTATCACTGACAAGACTGTTCAAATTGATAAAACATTAGCAATGCCAAAAACCAACTGACATTGAATTGGCAAAATGGCTAGTTGAGATTGATCAATACAGTGAAAAACAACTTGTGTGACTGAAAACTGCTTGCAAATAAAAAGTTAAAATGACATCTCACCTGTATGATGTTGTAATTATCGGCGGTGGAGTGAGTGGATTGTCAGCTGCAAAATATTTAGGAGAGCAAGGAGTAGATTTAGTACTTCTTGAAGCCACAGAAAGACTTGGTGGACGCACTCGCACGAATAAAGTATTCAAAATTTATAAAAGACAATACTTTTACCAGCTTTTACTTACTTTTGTTACTTTTTAGAATGAAAATGTTCTTTGGGTTGATCTTGGAGGTAATTTTTTATTCATAAAATAGCAACATCAATTAAATATTTTTCCACAATATAGGTGCATATGTCGGTCGATCGCAAAATCATTTGTTGCGAATAATCAAAGAGTTTAACTTGGAGTTGTATCCAGTCAATGAAGTTGAAAAACTCGTCTACTACGATGGATTTAGTGGAAAGCGCACTCTACTGAACTCTGACCAACTGCCAGCAAATGGGCTACTCGATTGGCTCGATCTCAATCACATGTTTCGCTTGATAGACAAAATTGGAGAGGATATTCCTGCTGATGAACCTTGGAAATCGCCAAGAGCAGAAAAACTTGATCAAATGACATGCAAGGAATTTCTTGAAGCAAACACCATAATGAGCGGAGCTCGTCATTTTATGAACATATTTTTCGGGACTCTTGTTACAAATCCAGCTTACCTCTCGTCGGCGCTATGGTTTCTGTGGTACATTAAACAATGTGGAGGTATAGTTCTTATGAGTTTAACAGTAAAAACACACTTATAACCATCCCTTAGGAACAAAGATGATCTTTGCCACGACAGGCGGCGGTCAAGAGTTCAAGGTAAATGGTGGAACCATGCAGATTAGTGAACGAATGGCCGAATGTGTGGGCATGCACCGAGTCCTTCTTGGACATGCAGTGTACTATGTTGAACAGAACGACAGTGAAGTGCTCGTAAAGACGCTCAATGGAAAGGAGTTTAGGGGAAGGTACTTGATTATGGCAACGCCTCCAGCTGTTCAACAGAAGATTCACTACTTGCCACCACTGCCGGCGATGCGAAATCAGCTGATTCAACGAGCACCACAAGGTGAGCAGTTTTGGGCAATTGCTAGCCATCAGTTTTAATTTTAGCCTGTTTGATTCATTAGGGTCTATTTTCAAGTGCATAATGTACTACAAGCGTCCTTTTTGGAAAGAAAATGGAATGTGTGGTAGCTTGCTTCTGGTCGGACCTGATAAAAAGTTTCCCATAACGTAATCAAGTTTTTTTCAACATTATAAACTGACTATTAATGTATTCCAATTAAAAGGTACACTCTGGATGATAGCAAGTGGCCAGATGGATCTAAACCGGCCATTATTGGGTATGACTGATTTTGAACCACACAAGGTCTTAAATAATGATCTTACAAACTATTAGATTCTTGCCCTCGGACAAGTCTCGTTTAATGACACAACTGACCAAAAATGAGAGACAAAAGGTTAGAGTACGATACCAGCAAAAATAATTCACTAAAAATACTTTTAGATCATTTGTGAATCATTCGCCAAGGCGTTCAACTGTCCAGAAGCTTTAGAGCCTGTTCACTACGAAGGTAATTGCATTGTTAAACAGATCAAAGTCGTAAATAGTAAACACAATGCTTTATATTATAAAAAAATTGAAGAACACAATTGGTCAGCTGAGCCCTATGTCGGCGGCTGCTACACTTCGACATTACCACCCGGGTTTCTCACTTACTATGGACCGTATTTGCGACAACCAATTGGACGAATGTTCTTTGGCGGCACTGAATGTGCTACTGAATGGTCCGGTTATATCAACGGTTAGTTATGCCTTTTTATTTTTAAATTATCCCTACTTAATCGTTTTATATTTCTATTTTAGGAGCCATTCAGTCGGGAGAACGGTCGGCGAGAGAAGTGCTCGTTCAGCTGGGCAAACTCTCTGCAGACCGGATCTGTCAGGACGAGCCAAACTCGGTAGACTACCCACCAGTGCCCTTTTCAAGTACTTTCTGTGAACGTTACGCCCCCTCTGCAAGAGGACTTTTCTATGGACTTGCTTTCACCTCTCTGGCAACGGCGGCAGCAGCAGGACTGACATTTTATTACATTAGAGAAAAAAGCTACACAAGTGCCTACTATTACCTGATCAAGGTATAACTTTTTTTTAATTCACACAATAAATGAGGATGAGCAACAAGTTTTGTAAAAGGAGCACATTTTCACTTGGTGAACCTAACCCAAAGGAGGTAGTGTGCCAATGCTGCGGACACTGCGCACTGTTCCATTTGAATGAAGGCGTTCTCCATTATGGGACTTTGATTGGTTTGACTCAAAGCTGCCGTAGTAACCCTCGGCGGCAGGTCGTGGTGGCTCAACACTAGGCGTGTCAGCAGTTGGCAAAATTTTGTTTAACGAAGTATTTGATTGTGCCTTTCGGTCAATCAAGTTTTTACTATTCTTCAACTTTGAGCGCAGTATTTCCTTTTGATTCCACACCGTGCCATGCTCATTTTCATTGTATTCAAATTTTACAGAGTAATTTTTCTTAAACTTGTCCAAGTCAAAGAAGTTTGATTTCGATTTTTGCCGAGAAACGTACATGAGCATCAGAATGACCAGAACTCCCGTGATGACTATGATGATACAGATAAAGTAGCCAATGTAGATGCATGCAATTCCAAAAGAGAGCGTTCGCACAGTTTCAGGACGCATGCTTCCTGATTCAGACACCCAGAGGTACGGCATAATAGTTGGCTTGAAGCGGTCGTAGTTTCGTATCGATGCCGAAGGATGAGTTCGCACATTAACCTGTATCTTGACACGACCCTCCATGGTCACCCCAAAGGTGGGCTCAATGTTCAAGAAAGAACGATGCTGAACAAAATCCGGATCAAGGCCATTCACGGCTCGCAGCAGTTTAGGAGATCCGATAAAGTGTGGATAAGTGATGACAATGGGCAGCATCTCATTGCACGTGGCCATGTCGTGGTAGCCGTTGCACTTCTCGAGGTCGCCGGATATTTTGTAGAGAACTGTGGCGTTCTTCGGTGACACCAGACGACAGCTGACCCCGCCACTTTGGTTTCGAGAACATGTTCGCTTGTCAGTGGCTGAAGGCTGGCGAATGGCCTTCACCCCTGGACAGAAGCACCAGTTGTCGCGCCTGCTGACAAAAGCTTCCGGATCTAGTGTATACTGATTGGCCGAATTGAGAATGTCGTACTTAGACTTTCCGTCAAAAAGTAGTTTGATTGGTCGAATGCAGGAATCTGAATACCTAAATTATTAGTAATTGTGTCTAGTGCAATCAAATCAATTAACCAACCGAGTGATAGCCAAAGTTCTTTGTTTTCGCTTACAAAGTAATTGTTGTTTAATGTTCCTTCTGTCCCCTTGATGTCATTGCAGCCTTTTCGGTAAAACTTTCCATAATGTCTGAATTGTAAACCAAATAATTATTAAAAAGAATTATCTAGGAATCTTACCTTTTTCCCTCCATTGAATCGATTTTCATGACTTTTCTATCAAACTGAAACTCTACCTTCTCTACTTTAGACAGCTCTTGATCATCTAATTCTGAAAATGTTTCATATCCAAATAAAAACGCATAGAATCGCACCCAAATGTTCTCTCGTTTATGCAAAATAAACTCTTTGACAAGATCGGAAAATGACCGCCTACCAGTATTTATAACAACCTTTCCACCCAGAGTATTGTTTGTAAACTGAAAAAAGCCAACCCGCTTCATTTCCATGACTGGTGACTTTGCAATATCAACGCCAAAATTTCGCGCTATATCAAGGTAGCGCTTAATTTGATCCATAAAGCGTGCTCTTCGGCCGACCAAAATCTGCCCCGGTGTACGTCGTTCAGTAATGTACTCTGAGTTGCTTGTCAGTATCTCCTTTAAAAAAGCCGAAACCGCAGGAGATACAACTTCAAGCAAACCAGACTGAGTTTGCCTCCATAGAGCGTTCATTGTGGTCTGCAAATGTATGTTTTATTTAACACTTTTGAAATGAAAATTCACAACTTACCATCAGTGCCAAGTTGATGACAGTGATGTTGTAGTCATGCAAACCAGCAACACTTTGAGTTCGGTCAAAGTAGTAGGTTGACATCTCCTGGAAGGAAACCTTGGTATCATCTTCGAAAAAGGTGATGTTCATCTTTTTCCGGTAGTGTCTGTGTTTATAAACAATTTGTTTTTTTGTAGAAAACATTATTGGTAAAATTGTTCTTACAAAAATACAAATGGTCCATGCTCTCGCACGTGCGGTTTCTTTCCTGTTAGAAAGTCTCTTGCGTTGATAAGTTCAAAAAGATATATTTCAGTTTTTAAAGGTGTTTTCGAGTCGCTCCTAAAAAGTACAGATTAAAGTTTAATGGTTGCAGTAAGAAAACTTGAAACGAATCTCAATAAACTTTACCATTCTTGAAAGAATTTCGAAGAACTTTGAAGAATCATAATTTTGTTTTCAACCACTAAAAGTTGCGATTTAAAAAATGCTACAAAAACAGACCAAAAATAGACATACCATATTGAATAGCCAAAGGAAAAAAGACATTGTAGAGTGAAAGGCCAGTGATAATGAGCAGTGTGGCGATGATGATGCGAAAAACTACTCTCGCCACTTTCGAGGTAGTTTTCGGCATTTGTAATACACTAAATTTTGGCCAGTGGAAAAGATTTCCTCACAAATAGGTACATGTTAATGCACACTAGTGAAAAAACACACTACAATATAAAATGTTTGCGGCACCGTGAGAAAGTAAAGCAGTGGAGCAAAATCGAGCGAAAAACGGCAATTCCGTCAGTCGATGAGAAAAGTGCTCTGTTGCAATTAATCAAAGACAGTGCAAGTCAGACAATCGGGTAGGAAGAATTTACTGCATTTACCGTGTTGCCATGATACCCATGCTACCTATGCCTTTCAAGGGCGGCAAAACTTTAAACTAAACGTAAATCGATTAGCTTTCTCAAAAACACTGGCCAAATGATCGATTCTCTTAGACAAAAACATTCACATGTCAGCTCTAAGTGCACCCATACAAAAGGTACCCAAGTAAAAGTTACTCAAACACAAATTTAATTTAAAGTCCTAAATAAGTTAACAGTTTTGTAAACTACAAGACCCAACTGCTGTTTTTGGCANAACACAAATTTAATTTAAAGTCCTAAATAAGTTAACAGTTTTGTAAACTAGAAGACCCAACTGCTGTCTTTGGCATTTCCGAAGCTTTGATGAGTTTTTGCTGATGTCTTTCATTCTAAAAAAAATAAAATTTTCAGTTAAAAAATGCTGGCAAAAATCTAAACAAACCCTGTGCAAAATGTAAGAGAGAAAGGCATCATAGCCAATCGATATTGTGGCAACGTAAAGATAACGAAACTGTGGAGGGACGTAAGAAAAATTCAGCCACTGTAACGGTATATATACCAGCCATTCAACCTTATTAATGTTTAAATATTAGTTTCAATGGCAACCGAAAAAATGCAGTACATACCCCGCAAATTACAGGAAAATTTGATTTAATGTACTCCCATGATTGCAGTAGACTGTGTCCCTTTAGAGAGCCTACAATGAAGAAAACACTGGAAACAAGAGGCGGACCCATTGCTACTTCAGCAATGAGCTTCTTCCTAACAGCACTTGGAGATTTTGGAGGAAAACGACGGTCTAGGAACGAGTACCAAAAGTGGCCAAACGCAGAAAAGTAAACACCGGCCAACATCATGTTTCTTGTTCTTTGAGAGTCCCACACTGGTTTACTTGACTGCTCACAACTGTTTTGTTGTGTGTGCAAAGTTGATTCATCTTTTGATAAGGCGTGTTCCAGGTTTTGCTGTAAAACATCGCCGATTGAAATGGAGACCACACCGGTGGCGGTATTGGTCACTAAAAGATAGGGCTTGGAGTAGAGTTTATTGATGAGATTCTTGGCCCAGTTTTTAAACATGTCAAATTTGAATTACACTGGCAATGCGCTAGTGACTATTTATAATTTGACGAGTGATAAAAAAAGTACATTTTTAGAAACAGTCTATGAAGAAAGCAAAGAAAGATCAGAAATGTGCAGCGTTTGATATCTGATATCGCAACGTACTTGAATGTACTTTGGAATCACGTGTTTGGCTAAACAGTTTGGCTTTAAAAAATCAAAACAAACTACCGTTCATGAACAATGNCGCTAGTGACTATTTATAATTTGACGAGTGATAAAAAAAGTACATTTTTAAAAACAGTCTATGAAGAAAGCAAAGATAGATCAGAAATGTGCAGCATTTGATATCTGATATCGCAACGTACTTGAATGTACTTTGGAATCACGTGTTTGGCTAAACAGTTTGGCTTTAAAAAATCAAAACAAACTACCGTTCATGAACAATGTAATGGGTTTCAAATATTTGAAATATCATCACCTTTGCAAGTGTGTCAATTTAGACCAAAAAAGGACTGAAAATGTTTTTGTTTTGCATCTTTAATGCCAAATAGATAATCACCACAAGTTTGTCAGCATTGGTAATTGTNGTAATGGGTTTCAAATATTTGAAATATCATCACCTTTGCAAGTGTGTCAACTTAGACCAAAAAAGGACTGAAAATGTTTTTGTTTTGCATCTTTTATGCCAAATAGATAATCACCACAAGTTTGTCAGCAGTGGTAATTGCTGATAAATTTTCTAGAATGTGCACAATCATTGATTTTTTTGGCAAAAATGCCCTTGATTGCATTGTGACGCTTAATTTGGTATCAAAAGTGCATGACTAGCTGGAGCGGATGAATCACTAAGGAAAAAATTTAATGCATTTAAATTGCTTAAAAAGAGGCTGAAGAAAAATGCAATTTTAATTTTTAATTTGAGGGATTTTAAACAAAAATGAATGCGCAACTTTTGTGTCAAAACTTGGTCTTAACATTTTTCTTGTTTGCCGCAGTTTCTGCTGTTTGTCGGTATGTTATCGAGATTTTTTAAAATTTATTTACAAAAGTTGATATCTAAACATGACTTTTAGTTATGATTCTGATTGTGGCTCTAAACAGGTTCAATGTGTAAATGGACTATGCGTTAGCACTGCCAAAATTGAATGTCAACGCCACCGGGATTGTCTAAAAAACCACGGAAAGTATAGTGAATGTAACAAGCAAAATGA